AAGGTTATTTACATGTACAGTTCCAGTTTTCTGATACTGTTAGTGTTTATTGTGTAAGGTTATATATTATAGAATATATTATTGCATCATTACAAAGGCAGACATGATGGAGAGTGTAAGGTTACATATCTTAATCACTTTTACGATTATAATTTATGGACCTTTTTACTCGATCCAAGGGGTAAATTTCACATTTTCCCTCCTTTTCGGACGACCACAGCAGTGAATACGTAATGAAATGACGTCAAACCGGAGAGAAGAATACAAAATCACAGTTTTCTTAAGCATTAATATAATCATTAACGATATAATTAAATGATAAAATCTTTAAAAGATGATAACATTTTCAAAGATACATTTTCTGAATGTTTTCGTAATCAATAAATCGATTTATAATCAACTTTAATAATGAAGTGCGCTATTAGGAAGCGAGATAAATTAACAGGGAAATGGATAAATGAAACAGAACGGATTTAATAATAAGAATTTATAGATAAAGTTTGCTGGAAGTGAAATCGAATTGAAAAAAAAAATCGGATGAACAGGAAAATGATAAGATTAAAGAAGAGGAAGGATTGAAAACATGGACACAATCATTCACGTTTAATTTAACAGAAAAAGCTACGTAATATTTTTTCGGGAAAGGTTATCGATTCTCAACCGAAAATATTTTCTTCCACTCATTTATCTTTATATTTTAACAAATTTAGTGGAATGTAAAAAGTCCACCAACGTTTTCGTCTAATGCGAACCGTCTTCTTTGTTTTAAATAATATTGATGGCGCGTTGTAATGGATATCGCTTACGTTAAAGCTTTTAAAAATACAATTTATTTTCATTAAAATTAAAATAAGATATTTTTTTTATATTGTAATTTTTATAAATAAAAATTCTTTTGGGAAATGTTAGGCTACTTTAAATGTTTTTTTTTAAAAGTTTTCGTGCATCTTTTCAAGCAAATTTTTGGAGGAAAACATTCATTAACGTAATAAAATTTAATGTATTAACACTAATTTTTTTACAATTAGTAAAGTTAAATATTTTTCCGGTAGATTAATTCAAAAAACCTGACTGAAAATTATATTTAAAAAAGTAAATAAATTTTAGATATAATTCTAATTCGTTAAAAGTAAATTAAATAAAATTTACTTTTAAAATTAATAAATTTAATTATAATATCTGTAATTTACACTTGAACTTATGAGTTCATACTAAATGCCTCAGGTCATTGATATCTACAGTGGGGAAGAATAAACTTTTATTCATCAGATTATTCACCCATCACGCAATGTCTGAGAATAACTAAACGACTCTCAAAAAAGAATTATAACAGCATTTAAAAACGGTTTTCAAATTTTACATATTTTCTAGATAACATCAACTTGTTCTAACAAAACTACAAGATTTTCTACTTTACAGAAAAATCTACAAAAAAATAAAATGAATGTATTAAATATATGAGTAATTCTTGTTATAAATTAATTGTTTTATTGAGTTTTTATTATTAAATTCGATATATTTGCCAGAGATGATGCGGCAAAGATTTTAAGTGAAATTCATCTAAAGATGTTGTAGCATTCGAACCATGTAGATATGAAAATTGTATACAAAATATATCAAAAAGAATTTTGTCTTTACAGCGATATCTTTATTAAATAACTTACATTTCGCGTAAAAGATGTAATATTAAAATATTATATATGAATGTACAATATGAAACTAATTTGCTTATCCCCTTAGTTTACATCAGGGTTTTCCCATTGAGAATACTGATATAAACTGTTCTAATTTTTAAATTTTGGCATAAATATTTACCGATAGTTAAATTTTTAAATTTTCTTCTCGATTTTAAATTATTTCCTCTTTTATTTATTTTATTAGAACGAAGAGTTGATAATCTATTTCATTTATACTAGCACAACATACAAATTTTATCAAGAAAAAAATAATATTTGTTAAATTGAACTTTTTTTGTAAAGAATTAATTCACTGATCATTCTATAGAATTGGAAATTAGACTTTAAAATCAACATAAATTGAAAATTTAATGGATATTTATATTTACTCGAAGATGCAACGTGCTTGTGTCGAGTAACATTCTCTGAAAATTAATGAAAATATTTGTTTTCATTACTCTCGACATGTAATATTTACTTTGTAAAGATGGAAGTAAGAGTCTTGAAATGTTTCCTTAAAAAATATATGAAATTTACGAAAATATGACGTTAAAACAGTAACACCAAACTAAGTATATCTGCTCTGATTCTTTATACCCGTAAACAAGCCCATACACGAGATCTAAGCTATAACTTTGGTATTAAAAAATGATTAAATCAAAATATAATATCGAATATATAAAAGATAAATTGGTTTTTAATGGAATATTCCATTGGTCTTTTCGATTATGCTGGCAAAAATATATTTTTCCATTTAAATTTAAAGTTATATTCACTCTTTAGTTAATGGAATAAAAATATTTGATGTATTCTTTTAGTATAATATAATGAAAAAACTTTTCTGTTACTTATTTAATTTACAGCATTACTATGTGTAAGTAAGAAATCCATTTTTCTTACCAAAATTTATATATATATAGGCTATATATAGATCAATATTGATGAAATTTCAGTCAGGACAAATATACTCGGCTTATTTTGATAATTTTTAGTAAAATTTTTGTAATATTTGTCATAATTTATTTTCGGTTCGTTATTTTTAAATGTAATTGTTACAACATTAATTTTCGGTAAGTTTACAGTTTATTTGATACACGATTTTATCTTGTGAATGAAGAATCAAGCATTAAACCATCAAATAAATGAATTAAACTATTATTAATTATGATAAGAAATGCATCATTTTGTTAAATGTAAAATGGTATTATGCGCCGTTATGCCTCATTTGTAAAACACAAACAATTCTGTTGTAAATTTTGATGCACAACTTCACTTTATGCATGACTGAAAATGTAAAGAATTAAATTACATTAGAATATCATCCACATCACTTCTGGCAGTCATATTAGATATTGTGTGAATAATAAAATTTTGTGCTTACAAGTATGACAGTGACAGGTAATTTTTATATAGTGTAATCAAATTTACTTGTAAAAATTCAGGCTAGACTATTTAATAATGTTATAAATATCTGTTCAATGCTCAATAAAAATCATAATAATGCAATTTATATAGGCTCTTTCCATAGGATACTGTTAAGAAATATATTCAAATGTTTAATATTTTACAATAACAAAAAATTATTTATATATTATATATAAATGTAGTCCATCAAAAAATCAATTTAATGAAATTTTTTTTACCAACTTAAAAATTGTTTACAGACTTTTTTCTGCCATAATCTTAAATGAATTAGTTAAAACTTGTAAAATTTCTTGCATATTTATCTTGAAAATTTTCATTTAAAATTACAAAATATTGCATTTTTATTTGATAAATTGTTGCTAAAAATGTTTAAAAATTTTACACAATATTTTCTGATATTCTAGAGGATTAAACTATTAAAGTATCCGATTATCACGCATCCTTTAGCAATTACTTTTTCCATTTTATCATTTACATACCCAACATTCTACATGTTTTTTTACTGGAAATACCATTTTTTTTCGTATGGAATTTGATTCACTTCAAAAGTTTTTACTTTATTTTCTCATATTTCTTTTGAAAACACTAAAGTTCCATTACTGATCATTATAGAAGCATTCAAATATTCAGTCACGAGATTTTCTAACTTAGATAAGTCTTCTACTTATTGATAATGCATACTGTCTGATTATCTGAAGTGTTTTAGCAAATCAACTTCTCGGTTTTTTTAGGAAGAGTGATAAGCAAAATGGTGGGTAATGTTACCATGTTCTGCAACACTATCCTTTTATTTATTTAGCACTGATGTAGGAAAACGAAAAGATACTTTTGCATTACTTCTATATTCATGTATTTCTTCGTTTATCTTGAAGTTGTGTAATTTAAACTTGTAAATATAATTTAAGCTACATTTATGAATTAAATATAAAACTATATTCTAAATTTTAAGCTAGTTTAAGTTTATAATGTGGGAAATATATTTAAAATGTTAATTGCGTTTACTGCTGTTATATATAAAGGAGGAAAAATATGGCGATCGGTCAAAAAATGATTCCCCTTCAAGATTTTTACATTTTTGGAGAACGTCGAGAAATGCGAACAATTGGAGAAACCTTGTATGTATGGGTATTAGAGGGCACCCATAAACACACACACTTTGATGCTTAATAACTTCTGTGTCTTTTGTCGAAAATTTCTGAAATTTTGCAGGAATATATGTATATTAGGGTGGTTGATGCTGTTAAATTTTGGTGGTTAAAGGTCGAGAGGTCGGGGAGATAGAGGAGGGTCATGTGTCATATCTCGAGTGGGATCGGACTTAATGACGATTTTACTCGTTATCAGCATTTACAAGTTTTCTTTTAAAAAATAAAACTCATCTCTCTCCTCAAAACTAAGCTTTTTGCTATTTTATAATAATTGATAATATAAAAAAAATTTAAAATTTCATAAGAGATGACAACACACGTAATTTTAATGTTTAGCCTGGAAAGTTACGCAATTCTTTGTTGGATTTTTTTAAAATAAGAAATAAACATGTAATAAAATTAATATAAAATATATACTAATTAATTAAAATATTATAATTTATTAACGTATAATGTAAAAACGTTTATAGATCTCTAGCTTAAATGTTTTATAGTTAAAAACTATAAGCTATACAATCGAACAAAGTTATATACCCCATTCTTTGTACGTAAAAGAATTAACGATCTTCATGTGTACAGTTCCTCCTTTTATGCTAGTTTTAATGGCAAGAAAATAATGAATGTTCTCCTCCATTCTGGTAGTAACTAGTTTATATGTACTAAGGTTTTATATAGTGAGTGTCCAGCCATAAACAACTTTCATTGACTTATAAAAGCGTGCTATCATATATAATTATGAACGCTTTACTAGAGGATAATTGAAAAGTTTAATTTAATTATTTTTGTACAGGTTCTTTTCAAAAAGTTGATTGGAGAAGTGAGCTTTGGCCAGTTATCTCTCTTCTTTACAATTGTAGGATTCTTAGATGCCCTAATGTTGTGGCCACTAGTTTTAACACTGTATTTTACTGGAGCGGAAGTTATTATTTGGTCAAAATTACCTTGGTATCCATTGGGAGGTGCTGCCCTTTTATCATTACGTAAGCATATTTTTTCGCTTAATTATAAACTTAATTATTAAAGAAAACTTCATTTTTTGTGTAATTAAAATATGATTAATTTTTTTATTCCTAACGTAATAATTAAGTAACAATTTTAATTATTTAATGAGATAATATATTATTTATTTTTGCTAATTTAATATACATATTTTCAGTGGCAAATATATTAGGAAATCTGGGAGTTGTTTGGACCTACGAAGTGTTTCTAATTTTGGGTTTCTTGTTTGCTGTGCCGGCATCTGCAGGTAAAAAATGAATTCTTTATTAAAATTTAATGATATAAATGTAATTTTTATTAATTAACTGAATTAATCTTTAAAAGTATGTAATAGTAGAAATTACATAAAAATACACATTAAGATTTAAAAAATTGATTTTTAAGCTGCTGTAAATTATACATACAATTAATTTTTACGTCAAATGAACTGTAAAACTACTGTAAGCAATGACTAAGAAAGCACAAATGGACTCTCATCAATGTAATGGTCCGTATCATACGAAGGGATCTTAGAAAAATGTACTCCATTACAATACAAAAATTCTTTATGATTTATATTATTCTACGGATTATCAGAAACAAGAAAAATACTAATAATTTTTAATGAAAAGAGTTATTTTAATCATTTTAAATTTGTTATAGTGGAAATAATTGCAGTTCTACGAGAGTTGTTTGACTTTTAATGTTGGCAAATCAATATTATAAGCATAAATTTTAATAGTTTACACAGATAATATTGTTTATACAGCTATTAATAGCTTATTACATAATATATTTATGTCTTCAGTTAATTTAGCTCTATGAAAAATGGAGTTTTACATATATAAAGAGCTCTTAAGTATATTAAACATCACGCAATTTATAATTTTATTAAATTTAAAATTCAAATTTACAAATATTTATGAAATAAAGGATTATTTATTCTCTTTCATTAGAATCACGTTTCGAAATATTTTAATTTAAACATAATTACGCATATGGACAATGTTTAAAGAATTAATTTTCATTTCTTTACCTACTCCAGTTGTTTGTTTACTAGATTTCACATAAAATGAAGTAAAGATGGCTTTAAAAAACTGGAAAACTTTTAAAATTGCAGAAAATCAACCTCTTGTACGCCTATAATAGAAATTTATTCAAATTATTAAGAAAATTCTTGTAGGCTGAAAGGTTACGAAGAGGAACTGTAAAATCAATATTTAAAAAAATTTATACAAATATTGTACATAAATATACACGTAAACGAACAGTATAATCGACAGTATACAAGATAACCTTTTAACGGTCAAATATATGTGGATTTTTCAATTTATTTACAAGTTTGTAATTTTTTCCTGTAATTAAAATAATGATTTCTTATTGCTTACATCTTTACCTTCTATATTTTTCGAATATTCGGTGGTTTATTATCATATAAATTAATTAAAAACAAATAATATTCCTATAAATTGCTTTAATATTATTACTTTATGTCTGCATAAAAATTTGCGTTATTGTAATTTGTGCAATTGTGATATAAATTTTCATGCAGACACTAGAGTAATTTCATTAAAAATATAAATATATTTAATAGTTTTTGAGCGAATCACTAGAATAAATATTATAGAATTCAGAAGTGTTGTTGACGCCCGCAGCAACTTTATTATTATTCTTTAATATAAAGTATATATATCAATATGTCTCTGGGATATTTTCTTTATTTCCTGTTCAAATTGTGTTATTTTAAAGAACATGAAAGAAACTTAGAATTAAAAAACTACCTTCTAGGCAAGAAAATAGAAATTTATTTTTTGAAAGTAGTAAAGTACTAATTTACATGTTTATTCTACTATATGCTTATACACATATAAATTAAAATTAGAAACTTTACATTATACAATGTTTTGAATACATATTCTATATTACAAAGTATTATTTGATTGATTTTCCTGTGTAGATCTTATAACTTATTACCTATAGGTGTATATATCAAAAATAAAAAGAAATCAATTAATGGTAGTAGTTATTCTATTCGTCAACAGATGGCACCACAGTAAATATTTTGTCTCCATACAATTTCGATAATATATTTATATGAAATTTTCAAAAGATTTTATTACCTTGATATTAATTTAAAATAATTATGAAATTTCGGAAGATTCTTGTTTCTTTGGTTTCAAGTATTAAAATGCCATATTTTTTAAGGAAAAATATTAAATTACAAAAAAAAATATTAAAGTAATAAATTGAATCATAGAATGAGTGTAGTCTATCTCTCTTAATGTAATCCCTATAGAATTACACAAAAGATAACAACATTACCTTCCATTATAGATAGATATCTTCTGACCATCCGGGGTAAGCTGAAAATATGGTTTAGTGAGCAACTGGAAGAACATCTGGGGTATAGTGGAATTTGCTGTATATGACAGAACAACCGACTAAGCAGAATCTATTGTTAGTCTTTAGGTAGCTGACACAATAAACTCCAATCAGTCGAACGTAAAGTTTGAAAGGAAAGACGTCCTTCGGACATGTAAAATTCTCAATGTTCTTCTTTCCAGTGGTTTACTAAATTTTCAAGTAGAATCATCATTTATTACCTAACATAATTTGAATTTATTATGTCGATTAGAATTTTTTTAGTTACACAAAAATACTTAAACTGTAAGGAAAATATGAGTTTACTTTGTTTATTTCCGAAAAACTTAATGAAGACGATAAAACTACCAAAATCTTTCAATTTTCTTTATCATCAAATATGATTTGCTATTACGGATTTAATTTCCTGTTCCAAAAAGTAATTTCCTTCCCATTTCTATGATTGTTTTCTTCACGTAGAAAGTAATTTATTTTCGTTAGTATAATAATAATTTATAAAATACGTCATTTATTCGAATCGTTTCTAATTAATTATGATAAAGGACAACAGATGGCGCGACATTCGTAATTTCAATTACGGTTCCTAGGAAATATATTACCATATGAAAACTTCCTATTTTAGTAATATTAAGAATATTTTATCTTAAAAAAAATATTATTTTTAATTTAAATATATTTTTATTATCACAGTTAAATAATATTGTGTAAAATATACATCACGAATTAGTTCTTAAATTAGGGATTAAAATATTCAGTTTCCCTAACTGAGCAGTAAATGACTGATTGAAATTGTTAAGACAATAAATTAATTACATGAAAATATATAATTATTTAGATTATACTGTATTTATAAAATGCATTGTTACGTAGATTTATAATTTATTGTAATGTATTATTACGTAGATTTCTTATTGTATTGTACTCGATTTCAGTAGTTTGTTAGCAAATAATAATTGTTACGTAACAGATTACCGGAAACAGATTACACGGTATATTTCATATGAATTTCTAAGCGTTTATTTGTTATAAGCGCATTAAAATATTATTCTATAATTGTGTAAAAGCGTAAAAGAAACTTACAAAAGCCATATATAAGAGGTTTACAGGATTAAGGTAAAGTGTACAAGCAATTGTTCGAGCGTGGTTTAGCAAACGTGACAATCTATTGTATTAAGCTTAAAGTAGTAAAGCAGCTAACTTTCCTTCTGTGAATATTTGCAGCTGTCTCTTGTCACGCCATAGTTAAGGTTAATAGAGTCAGAGAAGAGAATCAGATTAATCAAGTATTTTGATGTCTTCTACTATAATTAGGTTTCATTCCAAATGTAGAAACCTTACAAAAATATTACTCTCATTATTAAAAATAGCCGCCATTTGGTAGCAAAACTTTGTCAAATCATTAATAGAAGTTTAATTGAAGTTTATTTTTAAATTCCATGCTTTAATTGAAAATCGCTTCTAATTCGAAAATTGTGTAATTAGCTGAATAGCTATATTTGCCTTAAGTTTGAATATATTCTGTAGCATTTATTTTATTATGAATATTAGTAAAATTCTTATTGAATTAATTGAAAACGATTTTTTTTAAATTTAAAATCTATTTTTGAAAAGATATAACTGAAACTATACATTCAGCACTGTAAAAAATGCCATTTCAAATATAAATATATAAATTAACTAAACACTTATATTAATTACAAATTAATGAAATGTGTGTTTAATTAAAACATTACAAAATAAAAGAATTATTTATTTTTTTTTATAATAATATCGATTAGTTTTTCATTTTTTAAAATATAATTCTACATAAAGTATCTTAAATAAAGCATCTACATAAGTTGATCGATAATACAATAAAATATTTTTGAATAAAATAAATTAAATAAGAAGACGGACCTTTATTTTTTTTAATTAATATATTCAAAATATTTTCTTTTTTATATTTTTATTATTCGAGAAGAAAACTTTTTGGAAATAAAATTAAAAATCACTCTACTTTATCTGAACAGTACTTTATATGCAAAACTAAATGAATTTGAAGTTCGTAGGATATAAACTGTAAATTGAATTCAAATCCTTCAAACAAAACCTCTGCAGTAATGTAAGATAACAGAAAAAAATAGTCTCTATTCATTCATATTCAATATCTAATTTACTATATTTATAGAAAAAAAAACGAATTTTATTTATTTTCTATTACGTGTTATTTCTTATTTTTATAGAAATATATATATAAAAAAAATTCGACTTTTACTTTTTATATTAGTTTAATTCTGTTTATTTATCTACGTTTCATCTTATCAAGAGTGGGAGTAAAAGAAAAAAAAAATGATTATCCTCAGAACAGCGTGATGTACAGTACAGTACCTGCTATATAATGATGAATAATAAGAATTCAAAAGAAAATTTAACATCATAAATTCAGTTCATCAACTTAGAAAACTGATTTATTTATGAATTCACAGCTTATTTTACATGATTTCTTTTTTATCAATTCACTTGGAAGATTTCATCAAGGCTTTATACTTTTATACTTTTTAATTCAGTTAGAAAATATAGTATTGAAGTCTCCATCTTTTATATTGTATAATATAGTATTGTTGTATCATTTATAAGCTAATTTATGATAATAATAATAATATATTTAATAAAATAATAACATTAATTAGATGAATATGTATAGTCCGCATATGATTTTTTAATTAATATTATATTTAAAAGTCCAATATGAACATCATTGCATAATTGTAGAAATACGAATATTAAATGGTCTCTCTATTGTAAAATAAGTCAAAATAAAACTAATATGTAAACTATTGTAAAACAACTATTTATTATGGATATTCTGTTAGTTGATTTAATAATATGTAATTTACTNTAATCCTA